TGCCCCCCGGCCCCCCGGCGCCGGGCGGTGCTCGGGCGCCACCCGCTGGCGCGCGGGCGGAGACGCAGCTGGAAGGCGGCTTCGAGCCGAGATGGGGCAGAGGGTGACCTGGAGAAAAGCCGTGGAGGAGCCACCGTCTTCCTCTCCCGTGAGGCCGCCAGCGCCTCAGATCTCCGCAGAGGGACCGGCTGAAAACGCCTGATTTAGTCGCTGCCGCCAGCGCTTCCCGGCGGCGGCCGGCTGCCGTGCCGCGGGACGGAGAAACCTGCCTCGCCCCGCGGGGTGAAGGCGGCCACCTGCCTCCCAACCACAGACGGGCCCGGCAGGAGGCCGTGCCAGGGAAGGCACGGACCGAGGGAGCGCACCAACAGACGTGGGAGAAATCAGGAAACAACACGCAGAAGCAACGGTACGGCAAGAATACGTAACGAAGACAACGCAGAACGATGCTCCTCTTCAGACAAACTCTTAAAACCGGGTTTTGAGCGCGGTCCCGCTCTTAGTGGGCACACATCCGCGACGCCACAAGCCACAGCAGCGCCTTGCTGGGGCGAAGGCAAAGGGAGGGTTGGTTAGCTCCGTGGCGGTGACAGCAGGGGCTACCAAGGCGACAAGTTTGCAGGCAGCCGGCAGGGCAGGGCCTGCGGCACCACACCGGCACCGCAGAGACGGGCAGGGCTCCGGGCAGGCAGGGCCATCCCTTCACCCGGCGGCGACACCTTTCCACCTCACGTTTCAGCTTTGCTGAGGGCACGACAAACAGAGGAGAGGGGGGCAGGTTACGAGGGATGAGAATGAAAAGATTCTTGAAAAATAGTCCCTTCAGAGTCTGTTTCAATTTTTTAATCCATGGCTTTGAAGTTGCCATCACGTCAGGGCGCACCCATTGGCAGAAGACACACACAGTCAGATTCAGTGGCATACTGCTCTTGCAATAATTTAATTTATAAAGCAACGAATCTGTTATCTAACCATGTGCATCCCTGCCCTTTAAAACAAACAAAATTATTTCCCTCTGGACTCCCTAACAAATGGCAGCTTTATGGTGTACATCCCTCTATAAATTAGCTTAACATCTTACAGTAAGTACATCGAGTATTAGCTATATGAAACTAAAATTAAAAATTATCCAAGGCAGGCAACAGGGTCAGCTTAATTTGTCCACCGAACCATTGCAAATGGAATAATCTAATTTACCATCTGATACTACAAGTTCCTGCACAGTTTGTTAAAAGAAGAAAGAAGAAAAACTAAACCCAAGAAAAAAATCTTTAGGATCGTTTGAATTTTTAGACTACCGATATCTTGTCATGTTGGTGAAATGATACGTCAATGCCGTATGTCAATGGTGACTGACATCCCCCAACGACATATTAAGAAAGCCATCATGGACACATACTCTGGACTTAGTGCCACATGATCATAAATTGGGAGGGTTGTTTTTAATATTAGCATTTCAATGAAACCTAATCAATGGCCTTTTCGTCTTTGTAGAAGGCCACAGTTTTCACCACAAAAATAAAACTGATGTTGATATGGCTAGGAAAATTACTAGGAAACAATTTTATCCTGTCTTTAGAAAGATCGTTCATCTTGGTGTTTCTTGCCAAAACACTACCTAGGGAAATATTTATTAAATGGACAGGGGTTTTCTTTATCTTGTTCATTCTTTCTAGAAAAACAGTCTAGTGAGAACAACTCTTCAGGATAAACTTCAGCTCCCATATAAATTATACTACCTGCCACCAGACTTTATGCCATGATGAACTGCAGCTTCCAGTACATCATGCTCCACTAGTTGCAAATAACTAACATGCTCAAGGCCAATCTATTCACTCACCACTGAAGGAAGCAAACGTCCTTGGCTAAAGTTTATTTGCTGATATTCGATTTTCCTCATCCCTTCAATGAGAGATACATACGTACTATATACGTATGAAGCCCATAGTTTCAGGGGCCTCAGGGAGGGCCAGATTGAGCACTGTGGAGCTAGTACTCACACACTTTGCAGAGGTAGAGAGAGAAGTTGTATTAAATTCCTCAAGGCACTTTTCCACCTCTAAACTTTTCTAACTATTGCCACTTAAATATCTGCCTTTAAAAAGAAAAAGTCAACATTAAAACACACTTGTCAGGAAATTTTATGTAAATTTTATGTAAATTCAGCAATTCCGAGTGCTATTCTGAATAGAAAAATCTATAAAAAATTGGGACGGAGGGAATCACATGATGATAATCACACAGAGAACTTCACTATTGCTAAACTGAATGAATTAGCTACAGAGGAGATCAGGAAGAGCAGCACATTGGCAAGGTGGGCCCCGTTGTAGTCATTTCAATCCACCTGCCCAGGTTAATACACACATTCAGCAGCAGGAAAACTCCAAGCAGTAATGGGCCAACACAGCCATCTAAAATGCTGTTTCATGGGCTACTCATTTTTCCAAAGTTTTCTTCAGCAAGAGACTTCGCCTTCTACATAAAACTTGCTTCACTTGTGATGCCAAATGTGCAAATTTTTTTTGCCAGTACTTTGGATCATACTTTCATGGAAAGACAATTTATCCTGTCAAACATACTTCCTTTCAGGTTACAATTACTGCAAACCTAAGCAGCAGGTCTCTCTTTCATAATGCCACCTAAATAGATCAGTGAAAGACAGTTTCTGGGGAGAGAACAAAAAACCAAAACACCACCCAACTCTATCTGTCTGACAGCTTTGCGTACTTGAATAAGTGATTGCTAAATAAAACACAGCGTTTGCATCCACACACTACACACTTCTCACATCATTTTGCCTTCCTGTTCTACGGAAATAAAAGTTTACAGGTCTTGGAGCCTGTGGCAATTCCTTGAAATATATTTCAAAAGAGTCATTTCATTGCAGACTCATCTGAAATGCAGTTCAGCAAGTTTTAGATGACTTACCCAGCTATTTCCCAAGTGCGTCACACTCCCACTCTCTTTGTATTCTACGCTGTCTCTAACACCAAAACCAGTATTGCTCTGTCGAATGAAGCATTACTGGTAGACCGTTGAAGCAAACACCTTCTGCATTCCAGTCACCATCAACCAAAAGACTTGGGAAGCAAAGACACTGAAAAAAGTTAACTGATACTACTCAGAGGAAAAAAAGAAATCTAAAAAGTTTCTGATCTAATTAGAGCTGAAGGTCAGCAATAGCCTATGCACCTCTACACAGAGAGCGCCAGGGGCCAAGTCTGCACTGTACTCATTTGGATACAGCTTCCCTCTTTGTCATGAGGCAAAAACACACCAGTGAACATGCTGTCAATTTATATCCCTCCATTCTGAACTTGGATCACACCTATGTTAAAAGCTAATCCTAAATACCAGGATGAGGGCCCTGCTCAAGATTCAATCAGCAGATACACTGCAACATCCTACCACCAAGAAATAAATAATGCCAGAAGTATTTTTTAATATATATACACCCACAATCTTTTATCTATATAAAAAGATATATTTATATATTACAGTTATACATACATTACGAGACATCCATATCTATAAACTCACCTCAACATTTTTTTTCCCTTTTTTCCCCCCCAGCTAATCCACAGCTAGGGAAGGTAGTCCCACGGGGAAGTTCGTGGTATTCCCTTCTCTTTCACATTAAATGCCCAGAACCTTCTTTTGATCTTTCTTTCTTCAGTACGTATACAGTGTACTTATTAAAATGCCCTCACTCTACCAAAACAAACATTACACTATGAAAACAATTCTCCTGGTGGAGAGAACAACAAAGCCTGATCCATAGAACAGGTATTAGTCACACCACTGCTTAATGCACTCCTGAAAAGCACTCAGTTACTGTTGGGGAAATAGAAACCCACACAGACTAAAGCATAAAAAAATAGACTTTCAGTGTGGTTTACCACCATAAGCCACGAAATCAACTAATATTTGTATATTGCGTATGAGCTGATTATCATCAAGATAAATATAATCTAATTCAACATGAACTCATTATTAACCCCACACACTTGAATTCAAGTGTACAAAATACCTGTCTCACCCTTTTGTGACAGAATCTACTAAACAAAACTGTTACCAACTTGGGAAACAACAAAGCTGACAATAACAGAATGGGTCAAAAAGAATTACAGTTCCCCAGGGTGATCAGGGCACACAGATGAAGTAAGGTATCTCAATCAATAAAGATATGAAATCCCTCTGCAGACAACTTTCTCTTCTAGAAACCCAGCCTTGCAGGATTCGCCATATCTACAGACTATATCACAGAATTAAACTATTATACACTTACTTCTCTGTGTGACCGAGTTGGCAGTATGAGTCTGTATTAGAACAGAACAGAAAGCAAGTCTGCTATGATTTGCCTTCATATGACAGAAGCAAATTGAAATTTTTTGAGATAGTTGCAGAACTTACTGGAATACTGGTTAATATGAGTGCATACACGTGGAGGTATTCAGTAAAATATTCAGGTAGCAAATAATTTCATTGTTTAAAAATAAAAAATTGAGGAGCACAGTCATCACTAACATGCTTGCAGCAAGCCACCAGTCCGCAAACCAACAACTTTCAGATATCAAGACCCAAATGACTTTTGCTGCAACGTCAACATATTCTTCTTCCTGTGCTTCGTATTTCCCATTTGACCTCCAAACTAGTGTGACAGTCCCCCATTTCAAAAACATGGTTTTGTCCCTGGAGTTAGCATTATCTATCAGTGGCTTGTGCTCTTTCCAGTAATTCATGCTGGCTCTGCAGCCTTTCATTCTGTATACCTTTCTAGAGCTTTAACTCAGCTTTTCAAACTTTCAGTAACACTTGCCCTAAATCACTCTGGAGATACCACTTCGAATGTGGAAGTGTGATGATGAAAATTGCAGCATCATAACCATTCTATCATCAAAACAGTATTTGGCTTGTGAGCTTGAGACTTTTGTTATTCAAGATATAAACAAAAACAGTTATTTAAATGTGGCAGCAGAGAGCAACACATGCTTTCAAATAGCAGTCTGCAACACTACGAAGTTATGCTTTTACTTGTTGCTTTTAAAAATCTCCACTTTTTCTTTAGTCTTTACTTTTGCATTCAAAAGGGAATTCCCTTTATCAAACTTGTCCAGTATTATAAAATAATTATTGAGGGGATTTAGCTTATATTCAGCAAAGCTGCTTGATCCTATAATTACAACGTAATTCTGATTTGTGACATCAGTATGTTGCCATGGCATTGAATATAGCTTCAGTTCAAAACGAATACCAATATCCAAAAGCTCAATGACTTTCAACCTCTGTGCAGCACTGAAACCTAATCTCCTTGACGGTTACTCATACCACAAACACAGACAATATCTCCCCCTCCTCACCCCAAAAAACGTCTGTTTTCAAGAAAGGATATCTGAATCTATGCTCACAGTGACAGGAGACACATTACAGTGCCTCATCTGATGTCTCATCATTTGAAAAGTAAAATCCTACAATAAAGGTTTTAGCACAGTTAAGGAGGCATGACGATATAAATCCTTCCTCCAAAAGAAAAGGGCTGGAAGTAAAGTTACCGTGACAAATGGCCTGGGACCATAGCCAGGAGTTAAACTGTTCAAAACACAGTAATTTTACTCAAGATTCTTGGATCTAATGTTTTCATTTAATCACATAGTCATGCAACTTTATATACTTTCACTCAATACAGCTTGTTGAGACAGAAAAAGTTAATGTAAGCAACTCGGAATTTTGAGAACTAGTCACCTAAAACATTTTGGAAGGAAAAAAATACATTAGAAGAATGAAAAATATAAAAGTCTTAATCTGTGGCACAGAAGAAAATAATACTCTAATTTTACCAGCTTTAAAAAAAAAATAATCAGGTGACAAGTTCTAATGTTGTCTTTTCAGGCACAGAATTCATAACTACAAGGATATTCTGTATCCCAAACAGTTGCAGATAATGTTTTCACATTACAAATGTTTGACATAAATGTATGAAAAAATTACAAATTATTGACAGGTATTTGTTTTCCCATTGTTATTGATACAAGGTGTAGGCTTACTAGACATGTAACATCTAACTATTAAAGAATGGAAATTCAGGCAAGATATCCTACATCTACTTCTACCTGGAGAGTCAACCTGGCAAAAAAGACAGTTTGAAACTGGATACTCACTGGGTGGCAGGAATCTGCAATCTTGAAATCTAAGCCATGGAAATGAGACAGTGCTTTCAACATTGCTGCAACTGAATACTTTCACTCCTTGAAATCAATATATTGGCCAGTGTTTAACAGCATATTATGTACCAATTCAGAAATTGTTACTTGTTTTTTTAAATATACAGCAACGCTGATTTTCTGTTCTGCCTCAGCACAAGCAACATATTACGCAGCACTTACACAGAGACAAAGAAACACAAGGAGGGGGTTGTTTTGGTTTTTTTTTAAAACTATTGTAAAATAAGGCATCCAAATTCAAGTCAGTAACTTAAATATCTCATTGGTTAAAGGCAAAATCCAAATTAGGAGAAAATAATAAACATCCACAGCAAGCCTTGTGAATCATCCACTCAGATCAACAGGGTATAAGGAGCAGCCAAATATTGTGACAATTTTTCCCTCACACCCAGACCATTCAGCATGATTTGTGAGACAACAGTGAGCTGGCATCATTTAAGTAGTGAGACCCCCCAAAAAAGCCAAAAAACTATTATTATTATAAAGCTATAGCATTTAAAGTAGAACATGAAGTTAATTGTATATGGCTGAAGATTAAAATCATGAAACTATGAAACGTACTTACCGCACCAAAACCATGAAGAGTCTAAACATCAAGACTAGAACTATCCAGGTTACCCATATAGCATCTACTTTCCAAAGGGGTTAAAAAAAAAAAAAAAAAAAAAAAAAGGGCACTTTTCTTTTTCATTCTTTTTTTTTCCTTCATTCCAGCAACAAGCCTATATAATATTAAGATCAGCATCCAGTGACAACTCAAAAGTTCCAAGAAAGAAATTTTAATGCAAGTTCATTCTGAGTCAGTGAACTGTTTTGTCTCATATCACTTAATTCTTTCATAAAAAATTTTTAAAAGATTTTCAGCAAGAAATAAAACTGTCAGAAAGAACAACAGCAAACCTGGTGTTAAAAAAAAAAAAACAAACAAACAACTAAGTGTCATCTAACTATAAAACGATAAAGTAAAAATGAAGGGGGTGGGAGTAGAGGGACTGTGTATCATACCTTACTAGGAATCCGAAAGCTTTCAATAGGACTGAGGTCATGAACACTCTCCTGAGGACTTCTTAGACCCTTTAAAAGAATTTTAATAGTCAGTTAAGATTGACTACTTTATGTATCTTGCAATCGAACTGCACAAGTCTTACCTGCTGTTGAATGTATACCTAGAAGTCCTTAATAAATTACACTGACATGAGGCTGAAAGGGTAAGACCTTATTCTATAAACATTTAAGCAAGACCATTGGTGTATAAATTATGCTCCTCAAACATCTAAGCATTTCCAGCTTTGTGATGCAATAAGTACCTTTTCAGTACAGTTCACTAACATTCCCTTCACAAAGGGGTCCTCCTCTCAACTTCCAGATGTTATTTAAAATTTAAAAAAGCATGTGTCCAAAAAATGTAACATACTTTCTTCCACTAACTTAATGGTTTAATGGAATCAAATAATTGAATTCAAGTGCCACCTACTCTGTGCAAAATTATATTATTTTTGCTTGATAGTACATTTGTCTGATTACTATATAACACTATCAGGACTGATTTTCCTTATGCATAACTAAACTGAAAAAGATGCAAAATCCACATTAGCTGCTTTATATAATTATTACTCTTTAAGACACATAAAGCCACATAAACAGAATGTGCTCCAGTAGACTGAAGCTTTGTACAGGAAGCATCAATTAATCAGCTGAGTATGTTTTTGCTGAATATCCAACACATTCACAATTTTATGAAGCAACACCACAGAACATGCTGCTTAGCACATTTTCTACCAGCTCCCTAGGCAGAGGTGAATCTAAACATTCAAGTTTCAGATTTGGTTCTCTTGAATCTTCAGGGTGTTCACAGGAGCCACAAGTTTCAGACAGACTTCCCTCCTACTCTTGCAGTTGATGCTAACAGTACTGCTTCCAAGTCCCTTTCAGGCCCTGGGTACCTACACTTTCTTTGAAACAAAAGGACCTATGCAATTACTATGTGAGTTTATGATGAGAAAATCTTGTATTTATCCTTTGAAACTGATAAAGTGTTTTACAAATTCATCACTTTTGTGGTAACTACTACATTTTACAATTGTTTCATCTTCCTAGGATGCAAAACCACTTGATTTTGGTTTTGATTCTCAGATTTCCTTGCACATCATTTCAAAACATCCTCCCCTTCCAGTTACCACCACCAAAGGTGACTCAGCTCTATGCATCAGCAATTCAAGGTAATAAACAACCAAAGCAACTGCTGCAGCTTCTCATACTTCACATGAAATCTTCTACACCTCCTCTCAAAAATCTGCAGTACTACTAGCAGCTTATCTTCAGAAGCAGTAAAAGTTTCACTTACCAAATGCTAAATGGAACTTAACCCTTCCCAAAGGCTGAAAATTGTGTAAGTCGCTTCATTTTCAGACCACAACCTTTCCACACTGGGCAGGCTTCCCACAACTCCTCTTAGTCAAGCTGAAAACTGATTGTTTACCCCTATACTGAGGGGGAGCAGAACATTATTTGGAAATTCAGCTTCCACGCCGGTGCCCGTTTTTAAGCCCTGTCTCCCACATAAGCATGACAACTCTGAGGGCATAGTTTAGAAAAAAAAAACAAAGTTCAGTTTCTGCTTTTCCCACTATTTTCTATAACTGTCTACAATATCTGATGTGGTGGGAGACTCGCGTCTCCCAGATGTAGACACACGGTCAAACAGGGTTCGTTTTTGAGGTATTTCATATATGCGAATGACTTGAATCCTCTTCTAATACACTCCTTTGAAAAGGCTCTCAACCTTAGAAACACTGGTCCAAACATAGACTAGATCTACATAATCCTAGACGCAACTGGTACAAAGAAGTAGGCTAACAGAAACACATTAAGCACTGTAGCACACATGCAATACTTGCCCACCCAAATACCTCCCCGGCACCTCCACAGCCTTGCCTCAGTCTTGATCAAAAGCATTTGCTATCAGACAAAGCCATGTCCCAGTAACCACGGCCCAGCACTCCAAAACTGTACGTGGAAAAAGGAAACTGACACAGACCAGTCGTGTCATCTTCAACACCAGTTTGTCTGTTATCGCACAAGCTACATGCTGGCACCTACGCATGCTTCCATTTCTTGATTTAAAGAGGAAAAAAAACCCAAAACAACAGCTAGATGCATGCGTACCGAGAGCTAAGACACACTAAGACTTCCCTCTCCCCACAAGCCGGGCTGAAGGCGATGCCCGCGCCCCGGAGGCCCATCAGGGTGCCCGGGCACGGCCGCACACGCCTGCGCCGGCCACCGGCACTCCCCGCGCTGTGTGCCCGGCCACGGCGTCCCCGGGGAGAGCCCGGGACACCCCCCCCCCCCGCGGCGGGACCCCGCTGCCCTCCGACCCCAGCCGCTCACCTGGCGGGTCATCAGCGACTTGATCTTCTGCATGATGGCACCGGTACCGCCGCCGCCGCCCCGAAAGCGCTCAGCACCTCCGCGCGGCCGCGGGCTCCGGCCCCGGCGGGCACGGGGGAGCCATGTTGGACGCCACCTGACAGAGCCCGCCCGCTGCTCCCTGGGACCGGTAGTCCTCGGGCGGCGGCGCCCAACTACAACCCCCGTCAGCACGGCCGGGAGGGCGGGCCCCCGAGAGAGGAGCGGGGGGGGGGCGGCTCCTTCCGCCGCGGCGCGCCTGGCTGGCGCCGGCAGCCTTGAGGCGGCTCCTCTCTGCCAGGCGCTGGGGCGGCCGGGCCGAGCCGGGGGCGGGGGCGGCGGTCTGCGGGGGAGCGGGGCGGGGG